TCTCTAAGAAGCAGGCTGACCTGTAGGTGATAGAATCAGCATAACCCACTTAGGATCCCAATTTAGAATAGTCCTGATGTAAGTTAAGCATGCTTCGATTGTTTGTTTTTTATTTTTTTTATTTTATTATTATTATTTTTTGGCAGAACCGGGGATTGAACTCAGGCCCTTGCACTTGCCAGAGAAGCCCTTATTCCACTGAGCCATCTCCCCGGCCCCCATTTTTGTTTTTTTTTTAAAGAGAAACTTTTATACAGAAGACACACAAACAAAATCCATTTAAAAAGTTTCAATTTCTTGAAGAGATACAGAAAGTAAACCTTACAGGTAAATTTTATATCCTTTTCCAAAAAAATCTGAGAATGCTATATTCTCAACATTACTGTTCTGACACCAGTTTTGCGCAAGATATTATGCTGATGGTTGTAGGGGATGTAAAAATGGATTTAAAAAATGGGACTCACCTTAAGAATTTTACCAGCCCTGAACCTGTTTCTGAAGGTGGATTGTTTTTCTCTCAGTGCATGCTTTTGGTAATTACTCTGCAGTTGTGTATAGTTGTGTGTTAGTCAGCTTTTGGTTACTGCAACAACACACTTGAGCAAACAGCTCAGTGGAATAAGTGCTTCCCTGGCAAGCACAAGGGCCTGAGTTCAATCCCCGGTTCCACCAAAAAAAAAAAAAAAAAAAAAAAAAAGAAACCAGAAAGAGGAAAGGTTTATTTTTGTCTCATGGTTTGGGAGACTTCGCTCCATGGTCACTGGCTCCATTGCTTTTCAGCTCTGAGTGAGGCAGAATAGCACGGTGAGTGAACATGGCGGGACGAACCTGCTTACCTCATGGTGTCGGGGATAAGCGGAGGGGAACTTAGTACCTCTCCAAGGCACACCCCTAGCGACCTCACTTCTTCCCATTGGAACCCACGTACACCCTGATGGTTGTACCACCTCTCAAGAACACCACAGTCTAGCATCCAAACCTCTATTGCATGACCTTTGGAGGACACTTGCAAGCCAAGCCAGAACAATACTGCGTGGTCAGCGCCATCACTGAAGTCTCTTTGGGCTCTAATTTCAGTCTGAGACCAAGACTAGGTTTGATTGGCTATTGTTGATCAAATATTATTAGGTTTGGATAGCTTGTGTTGGTTTTAGGTATGATAAAATGACAATGTCAATAAAGAACAATGTCTTCTACATGTACTGAAGAAAAAGTAATTGTGCTTCAAAACAGCTCACAGGACAGGCTAAAAATGTTCAAACTGATTTTATAGAGTTTTCTAGGATCCTTTTTATAAGCTGGCCTGTAATTTCTCCCTTTGTCCTTCTCAAGGCTACCGTGTGATCTTTTTTTTTTCTTTTCAAAGTTTTATTGATAAACAGATAGCAATGAGACAGTTTCAAATCAAATCGAGAGTACAGTTTCAACAAATAATACACTGCATATATTCTTCTTAGTGGTTAATTGCTGTACAAGATGCCGTGTGATCTTATATGAGTAGAATAATATAGATGATCACTCTTACTTTCAATTAAACTATTCGCCTGCTCAGTAACAATGAATTTTCACATATTTATTTTCAATCAAGTGGTGACGTGAAGAGAATCAGTATGAAATATATACCACAGATGCATAAATAAACCTCAACTGTTATTCGGCAGTTCAGAGTCCAAACTTGCCCTCGGTGAGGATATGACATTGTCCTGTGCTATCTCAGTCTAATTTGCTAAGGCAGAACCTATGACCCCGTGGGCCCAGATTCTTGTGCATGTTTATCTTCCCGCGACTACTTGAACTTTGTACCCTGATGGGCAGGCAGTGCAGAGTGAAAGCACCTGGGCCCATTTGTCTACAGATGCCAAGTGAAATCAAAAGTGAAATCTCTGGCTGGTGTGTTTCCAGTGAAACCATATCGGCACGGAGGAAACAAGGGCTTTGCCTGTGTGTCTGCGACTCTTCGCCTCCACGGAGCACTCTCACTGGCTCTGAGAGTGCAGTCAACATCTACTTCAGGGTCCACAGCACCAATGGAACGTGCCTATGCCAGCAGGGAAGGGCTCAGACCTAGGCCTCAGCTTCCCAGTCACGGCCAGCTTCTGCTACCTTAAATGACAAGAGACCAAGAGAAGCCTTTGCTCTCTCCATGCTGGATTCAAACAGTCTTGGTTTCCTTCAGGTGAGTAATAGTCTAGCCTTGTCTGGCAAAATCTGTTGTTATTTACATTTTTCTTTTAAATTTTATTTATTTACTTATGTGTGGGGGGGCAGCTCAGCCCACCAGGGGGCAGGGCTGACTGGCATGTGGTGCTGGGGGATTGAACCACGGTCCCTGTGCTTTGCTAAACTTGTTCTAAGTAGGTGTTCTAGACCACTGAGCCATCTCACCAGCCCGTTATTTACATTTTTAATTCACAAAATTAAGATTTGCACCCCAAATTATTGGAGCCAGAAAAATCTCAGAACATAGCATTCCTATTGATAAATTTAGCATTAATTTATGATTTAAAATTTTAGACACTTTCTCCTGGCTTCATCTTGTTCATTTGGCTGAGAGGTCTTCTGATGTTTCTACATGCCAGGGCTGCTTCTGAAGGCCTGAAAGTGGGGCTGTAGAAGTTCTCTTAAGGGAGCCACGAAAGTGAGCGAAGCCTCAGGCTCCCCCAAGCTGGTGCCTTGGGGACTCGCTTGGCTTAGCAAGGAAGGGCTGTGTGAATGTTCTTCTGACATACAGTGTAATCGGATGTGAAAGTTTAACAGTTACCGAAACAAAGAGACAAAACGAAACAAAACTTTGTTGAGCACTAACAGCAGTTAGTGTGTGAGCTGTACTCTCACAAAAGAATTCTTTAAAAACTCACAATAGGCAGCTCACGGGAAGTTCTCCAGCTACATCCAGTATTGCACATCATCGATTTGGTTAAGAAACCAGTGGAAGCCCCAGAATAGGGCATCCAGCAGTTCCCGCAGCCTCCCAGGACACACGGTGTGGCTGGTTTTGCTTAGGAAAAGCCCCTGAATATGGGTAGTTAGTATTATGAACCCCTGATGTTTAATGAGGGGCATTTCTGCACTATTTCTCTTTCTGGCACCAACCTGGAGCCTCTTAGACAAGCTGAAAGGTAAGAGAAATGCAGAGAGCTACCTAACCTACTTCAGATGCAAATAAACTCACCTAAATTGGAGGGAGAGCGAGGGAGATAGCTCAGTAGAATAAGCATTTGCCTAGCAAGCACAAGATCCTGAGTTCAATCCCTGGTATCACAAAAAAAAAAAAAAAAATGGAGGAAGACATCTCCCCACAGGGTGCCCAGCCTGCCTGTCCATCAGGACCTGCTTTGGTAGCCCTGCATCATGTTCACGGACTCATTCATTCATTCATTCATTCAGCAATCATCTATCATGCTCCAGGCACCATTGTAGAGCTCTGCCTGTGGCAGGATAAAACAAGCTCAGATGCCTGCCCCCCAAAGCACTTGGACTCAATGACATGAGCACAGACTGTCCCAGCTGGAGCCTGTTGCATTCAGAAATTACAAACTCGCCCAAATTTTCTGATCAAGGAGATTATGGGGCCAAAGAGGAAAGTGATCGATGATGTAGAGTGTGCCTAAGGAGAGTCACATGGAGAGAAAACACTCTCTCAGGCTTTCACAAAGAGCACATTGGCCAAGCATTGGCTGTGACTCATCCTCATGGGTGACACTGACAAAGGTTCTACAATCTGAGGTACAGGATCTCAGGATAAATCCTGAGGGGATTTCACTGACCTTATCAGACCCAAAAGCTACAACTCTTGTTGCATAGGTCCTGCTTTACCTTGGTCTTAACCATCCAGCAGAAAAGTATAAAAACAAAGTATAAGACGTAAAGCCATGGTGTTATGTTGAGCTGTAGGGGACTCAGCTTAACAATTTCTGACATTGCCAGTGAAGCAGAAGACCCAATACTATTATGGACTACTGGACTCTTTTAGAATATTTTGCTGAGTTAACATCCTATAATATTCAAATAATGGAACTAAACAAAAAAGGGATACAGACGAATGTCCATTTTGTATCTGTGTATTCAAAATGGTTAGGATAGATATAGAGTTACATTCTCTTAATGAATAGAAGGATTTGTTCTAATAGTGTTTGTAAATAGGATATCATGTCCGCATCTTGTACAGCAATTAACCACTAGGAAAAATGTATGCAATGTGTTAATTATTGAAACTGTCCTACCAATTTGGTTTGAAACTGTCTCATTGCTATTTGTTTCTCAATAAAATTATGGGAAAAAAAGAAAGAAATTACAAATTCAAAGGGCTATGGGGTCCAGCCTGGAAGTGAAACTGCACAACGGTGACAAAAAGGGTGGTGATTACCGCAAATCATAGAGTGTGTGTCCCAAGAGGCATCCAAATGGAGCTGTTCAGAACAGTTTGGTCCAAGCAAAAGACTTGGAGGATCCAGAGGCCTCCTGTGGCTGTGATTCAATCCTCCATTGTCCTCAGACCAGAAAGCAAGGCCCAGAAAGAGTGCACACCTTGCTAAAGGTCGTATGGATGAGCAGTGATACAGCTAAAGCAGGAGCTCAGCTATCCTGGCCCGGGGGCTTGTTTTTCAAACAACTCATTACTCTCTCTGGTCAGCTCCTTGAGGCATCTCAGAAAATTTCTAGTATTTTTCTAGATCCCAAAAATGTGTCATGATCTTGTTGAGCGACTCACCCTCTCCACCGTTATTTATAGAGCTCTATCAAGTGCTAACCTCCAAGGAAAGCTTAAGATTGTTGAGCAAGCCCAAGGTCAGAGATGTACCTTAGGAACAGATTACTTCAGCAACTGAAATATAGAATTGGTGGGAAACAGTAAATTGGTTTTTCCTCTGTGAGTACTTACAGAGCAGTAGTTACGACTCTTCAGGCCCAGATGTACACAGGTGCTCAACCCAGACAAGAAATGAAGATAATGTCACATAATTGATGTCATGTGTCCTTTAAAATTAGCTTAGCCGATACAACGCTCCGCTGCCGCCAGCACCCCCGCGACCCGGACCGCGCGCCCGCTCGCCCCAGCCAACGGCTCCGCCACCATGGAGGACATGAACGAGTACAGCAATATAGAGGAATTCGCCGAGGGTTCCAAAATCAACGCGAGCAAGAACCAGCAGGATGACGGTAAAATGTTTATTGGAGGCTTGAGCTGGGATACAAGCAAGAAAGATCTGACTGAGTATTTGTCTCGATTTGGGGAAGTTGTAGACTGCACAATTAAAACAGACCCAGTCACTGGAAGATCAAGAGGATCTGGATTTGTGCTTTTCAAAGATGCTGCTAGTGTTGATAAGGTTTTGGAATTAAAAGAACACAAACTGGATGGCAAATTGATAGACCCTAAAAGAGCCAAAGCTTTAAAAGGGAAAGAACCCCCTAAAAAGGTGTTTGTGGGAGGATTGAGCCCAGATACTTCTGAAGAACAGATTAAAGAATATTTTGGAGCTTTTGGAGAGATAGAAAATATTGAACTTCCCATGGATACAAAAACAAATGAAAGGAGAGGATTTTGTTTCATCACATACACAGATGAAGAACCAGTCAAGAAACTGTTAGAAAGCAGATACCATCAAATTGGTTCTGGAAAGTGTGAAATCAAAGTTGCACAGCCCAAAGAGGTATATCGGCAGCAACAGCAACAACAAAAAGGAGGAAGAGGTGCTGCAGCTGGTGGACGAGGTGGTACTAGGGGTCGTGGTCGAGGTCAGGGCCAAAACTGGAACCAAGGATTTAATAACTATTATGATCAAGGATATGGAAATTACAATAGTGCCTATGGTGGTGATCAAAACTATAGTGGCTATGGCGGATATGATTATACTGGGTATAACTATGGGAACTATGGATATGGACAGGGATATGCAGACTACAGTGGTCAACAGAGCACTTACGGCAAGGCATCTCGAGGAGGTGGCAATCACCAAAACAATTACCAGCCATACTAAAGAGGAAGACATTGGAGGAAACAGGAGATGCTAAAGAAATCTTCCAGGACTACACTGAAGATTGGCCTTCTGTTGCTCTAATGATTATTTTGTAAAAGACTTTCTAGTGTACAAGACACACTGTCCAACTGTATATAGCTGCCAATTAGTTTTTTTGTTTTTACTTTGTCCTTTGCTATGTGTTATGACTGTGGATTTGTGTTTATACAAATTTTATTTGTATGATTTCTCATGTTAAACCCCAAATAAATGCTTCCTTACGTGAAAAAAAAAAATAAAATAAAATAAAATAAAATTAGCTTAGCCCTACAGTGACTATAAAAATATTCCCATGGAATAGTAAGTGGGCAGATAGAAAGTGGTCAGTGAGTCCTTATTGGCAGAGTGATTATAAGTGTTTGTGAATTATACAATCTCAGCTGCTAGGCAGATGCATTAGCTAATGTCGCAAAGTTCCAGCAGTACAAGGGCCAAGACTACCCACTCACTGTGCAAACGCTGATGAAGTGCTTGCCTATCATGTAGAAGACTGCCCGTGTGTACACCGAAGTGCCATGGCACTCCAGGATTTGTGTTTATGAACCACAAGTAAGTTGAAAACAATTTTTTTCTAAGTATATCCCAGAAGTTTATTAGAATCCTTTAGGAAGTAGCCACACTTGGGTCTCCAAGGTCAGAAATTGAGTGTGTTCCCCCTGCCTCAAGGGAAGGACAAATGGACAAATGGTATGATCCGCATGGACATACATTGTACCTAGTGGTTCCGCAGGGTGGTCAGGGGCTCTGGGAGATCTAGGGGAAGGACTGGAGATAAGCATCTCTGAATGGATGCAGAATGTGAACATATTTGTGTTCCAAGTGAATTTTCATGGAAAAGTATTCTCAGGTGGACAGGAGGAACCATTGTCGAGATAGCTCAGCAGACTAAGTGCCTGCTTTGGCAAGTGCAGGGGCCAGGGTTCAATCCCAGGTCCCACATGCCTCCTTAGCCCCACCCTCGGGGTGTGCTGAGTGTTGACCAAGTCCAGGTGTGGTGGTGCACACCTCTAATCCCAGCACTGGGAAAGCTGAAAAAGGAGGATCATCATGAGTCCAAGCTGCGTAGTGAGACCCTGTACCAAATACATTAAAAAAAAAAATATTGTGTAGATTTCAGTCATCCTCCTTTTATACCCATTCTTATCATTACCTATGAACTCATGAACCAAGTGGCCACAGTGGCAGAGATGGAGGCTCTGCGTAGCTTCAGCACCACGGACCTCCATTTATCCAGGCTGATCAAGCTACAACCAAGCCTAAGTGCCTAATCTGCAGCTAGTCCTTGAACCCCTAATCCAGCACAATTCCCAGAGAGATTGGCCAGCTACTTGTTGACAGGTTGATTATGTTGGACTATTCCCACAAAGGAAGGGACAGCATTTTGTTCTTTTAGAATGGATACTTACTCTTTTTGCCTTCCTTGCTTGTGGTATTTCCACCCTAATACTAGCTGTGGGCTTAGAGGATGCCTGATTCACTTCAATAGTATTCCACACAACATTGTTTCTGACCATAAAATCCACTTAATTCTGAGAAAAGTTGTGAAAAGTGGGTCCACACTGATGGGATTCCCGCCATTGCCATGTTCTCCTATCATCTTAAAGCACCTGGCTCAATAGAATAGTGGAACAATGCTTTAAAATCTCAGCAATGGTGCCACCTCAGTGACAGTACCTTGGAAATCTGTAAAAATGTCTTGCAGCTTATGGTATACACTCTAGAGTCTAAATCAATGTCCAATATATGATGACTTTTCATCCATTGTCAAGGAGTCAAGAGCTGGAAATGGCATTGGTTCTTCCTGCTATTACCCTTAGTGATTCACTGCCATCCTCTTTTATTTTTTAATGTCTACCCCTATAACTTTGTATTCTGCTGCTTTAGGAGTTTTAGTTTCAAAAACAAACAAAAGTAGAAAATGTTCCACCTAGGGATACAACAATGATTCCACTGAACTAGAAGTTGAGACAGTCCTGAACACTTTGTGGTCCAGCTGCCAGTGCATCAAGCAGCAAGGAAGAGACCTACTGCTCTTACTGGGAAGATTAGACTGGATAATCATGGGGAAATTGGGATTAACACACAATGGACCTGAGTGATAATGCATTTGGGATGCAGCAGTTCCTCCGAGGCACCTCTAACTTTTCCTATGTCTTAAGATTAAAGCCAATGGAAAATCACAAGAACCCAGTTCAAACAGGATTATAGATTTGAGTCACCCTACTAGGTGAGGAACCATGATTAGCAGAAGTGCTTAGAGCAAAAGGAATACAGAATGAGTGGAAGAAAGTAATCACAGGGCTGGTGAGATGACTCCGTGGTCTAAAGCACCTACTTAGAACAAGCTTAGCAAAGCACAGGGACCG